TAAAATCTGGGAATGTGTTTTTCTCGGAGTTAGTATCTATCCTACTTCTGCTAGACGTTTCTTCTGATTTAATATTGATAAATCCCTAGATCCTCCAATGTCCCTATCCCTAGATTATATTTCACGGAGGAGGTAATGTATGAACCCTTCCCATCCATGCCTAATAATACTCTCTCCCTAGCTATGCACCGGATGATCGATCCCAAAGGCAATGTCTGTTCGTTGAAGGGATGAGACAATAATAATAATTAATATCTGACGCTGCTGGTGACTTGGTAGATTTGGCAATGGATAGAGGAAAATTACGATAATTCTTCATCAACATCTGTTCTCTTGAGTTCGGGATCGTGGGGTTCGATTGACATTGAGTTTTTTTCTATGTGGAATGAGACGTTTGTTGTGATTAGAGATGATATACAGGGTGTCTCGAAAAAAGGTGACTCGTTGCTAGGATTAGGACAACACTGCAAAATAATCGAGTTTGCTCAGTAAACAATTTTCGTAACCGCATCCGTATTCAAGATACTAGGTGCTGAAAAAACAATTTTATATATATTTATACTTACCAATTTTTTAGGATTACCGATATATCGAACTTATCGATATGTTTTGACTTACACAGAGAAAAACAATTCTTTGAATTTAACAAATATTGTTAAATTCAAAGAAATCCGAAGTTTGAATAGGTCCAACAAACAAGCTTGGTTGAATCAAAGTTTCCATACTTTTGATTTTTCAAATAAGTGATTTTTTTGTATCTATATAATTTATTGGAAATGATATGATTTATAATTTGGAAGAAAGTGTATATTTGTTTGAATCAAAACTATTTCTTTGGATTTATGATCAGAATTATTCATAGTGAATAAGTATAATTTGCATCAAAGAAATGAAAGCTTGAGGGAAACAAGGAAATTATTTGGAAGAAATAAATAATTATTTGCGAAGAATAAATATATGTGAATGAAATTTGTATCAAAGAAATCAGAGCTTGACAGAAACAAGAACATTCTTTGGAAGAAACAATTAATTATTTGTGAAAAATAAATATATGTAAATGTAATTTGATTCAAAGATGTCAATGCTTGAGAAAAACAAGGAAATTGTTTGGAAGAAACAAGCTCAAATAATGGATTTCCTTACCAGAAATAGATTGTAGATTCGAACGAAATCAAAAATTAATAAACTCAAAGAAATAGAATCTTCCTAAGAAGAAATTCATTTCTTAGAAAACAATACTCCTCTTGGAAGGAATTGAGAATTAACAACGAAATTGAACTATAACAAACTTTATTGAATAATAGAAAAAATGTGACAGACACACTGTTTGGGTTCGATACTACAGAAGTCAAGATACATGATGATCCTGAAGCAGGTTGATCGCTGTTTTTTGTATCCAACCTCAAATATTTGGCTCTATCATCCGGTGCATCAGCATCAATAAAAATGTTTTCGGAAATCACTGGAGTATTCACATCAATGACAGACGTAGCAGATTTCTCATTGCTCTCCTGAAAGTTTAGTATATTTTAATGCGGAAATACATGAATTATATGCATAACATGGAAATCAAAATTCCATAACATTGCATGATGTGCATTTTGACTTTTATATGAAGAAAAGAGCTGTGATAATTCTTGTTCTAGTGATTATTTTCTCTACATAGTTACATGATATCTCAAAATACTTATACAGGGTATATCTGAATAACACCGAAAAAAGTCAAGGGGTGATTCCTGAAGATGCTAATATAGAATCAGAACATTTAACAAAGTATTTATCATTTGTTTCATGGAAACAAATATTTTGTTTCAAGTGAAGCTGGTGACATTTGAATGAAAAAAATATTTATTTGACTGCATGGAATCTTCCATTGAAAATCATAGAAGAATTTGAACGCCATTTCACTGGAATATTTCAATATACAGCAGATTAGAAAGTATACTAATCTACGAAATATCGCACATATCTACCTACCTATTCGTACATCCTTCTATGACCACCAAATCGCACGGTTTGTTTTTTTGATGGAGATCGGTATGGGAATATCAGGAAATCAACAAATCATGAAAAATTTCACGCCATTATTTCGATTTTCAAGTATGAATTACAATTTCTTACCTCTGAAAATGGGGGGACCACATGACCCAAATGCCATTCTTCTGAAAAATCCATCACTACACATTAAGAGAAAAGTGAAAATCTGTAAATATGCTGTGGAATTATAACTATACTAAATCACTACTGTACGATACGACCCGGCGAACCACATCAGAGATACAAAACGAATTCCATAATGTATTTTCAATAAGCATTTATTCGAGGTGAATGACACACTCGCTCTGTTCAAATGATATTTTTTAAATACAAATTTTTTGTTTGTGCATGACAACTATATCAATTGGTCATATTCATATCAAGATTAATTTTTGCCAACAATGTGATATTTCTGTTCAAAATAATATTTATTTGCTTCAAGTAACATTTATTCCTTCGAAATAAATATATTTTCAACAAATGCTATTGTTTCACCCAAACAAATGTCATTCAAATGAACCGATAATTTCAAAGAAAGAATTTGATTTGGTTTTAAGAAATAACAATTGTTTCTCGCAAATAACATTTATTTCTTGCAAACAAATATAAGTCAAACAAATGAGATTGTTTCACGCAAAGAAACGTTTTTCTCTGTGTATAGATAATCGATATGTGAAATTCAATATCGCCCATGCAGCCTCAAAATCATCAATGAGCTCTACAATAAGTAACATCACATACAGTGAGTCCCGCATTTCATGAATACATCCTAATATATATCAGTTATTAATGATGCGATTTTCTTAAAATTTTTGTGGTGATTGTATGTTAGAACAATGAGGTACTTGGCATTTGGTGAACATTTTTATTTAAAATTGGCGTGCGGTGTTGCGTGGGGTGAAAAAAGGCCAGATTCAGATTCAGCATCCCCAAAATCCGCCGAATTCATATTTTCAAGATTTCATGTGCTAAAAAATTTTTTTTCATAATTTTGATTCTCATGACTACACTCTAAAATCTCAGTTATTAATGATGCAATATCATTGAAATTTTTATTGTGGTTGAATGTTAGAAAAATAAAATACAATCAACATCACAATTTCGAAAGAATCATTAATTACTTGAAACTAATATGGCTGACTGAATATTGTTGCCAAATGTTGACTTGGAACGAAAATATCAATCTGCGGCTCATTTCCCAGCACGGCATATTCACCCAATTTACTCTCATTGAAAAAATTGAGAGGGGTTCAAAATACGTGAAAACCCAGTACTTATTTCCGAGCTTATTTCATTCGTTCAACGTACAATTTTTGTTGTCAATAAACTGTCTGTATTCCCTGAAAATCAATAATCAATTAGTGCGCACTGAGTTGACCTCACAAACGTTTTTATAGCCAATTACCCGCCAATATTTTCCGAAGCAGTGGCGTACCATTTAGTATATGCGTGAGTCGAAGCGTGAGTATCGAAATAACCTCAAGGACAATTTAGATTTTAGATGCTCTTCGGAACTCTCTTCATTTCATCACTAATCACTATAGCTGTACCATTCAGACGACGAACGAACATTCAGCAGGTCCAATCATATATTATATGTCGAGATATCATGATCAACTCTCGAAGACTCGTTTGTCTGCAGAATAGCAAAGTTTGGTACTCTGGAAGGAAGATCTATATTACCTAACTATACACGCACCATGTTCCTTGAACATAATACGAATTCCATTTCGTGCGCTCTAGAAGATGGGAATGGTGAAAAAAATGTCACCATTACCTATAGGCAGTTTCCTAAATTGATTTTCGTTTCAACCCTGAACGATTGAATAAACAAGCTCCATTTCTATCTTTACAATTTTGTGCTACTAAAAACTATGATGTGGGTTGGTGAATTATTGGTGGTGATTAATTTTTGATATTGTGGTGTTTCTAACAAGCACGCGGGAGAAATTATTTATTATTGTGAATTTAAACAATGCTGAAAGCTATTATGCCTCTTTTATTTCCCTTTCACATCTTATCCAAATAGGTACCTATACGATCCGATGGAAACCCGATTCATACCCAGAACAATGGATATCCTGCGCAGTGGCGTACTTGATATTCAGGAAGCATATTCTGAATTCATATTAAACATAGTTTGGGACCAAAAAGAAGCGAATTACACGCAAATATAAAGTTGTTAGCTTTTTTCTTTTGAGCACTAATGAAAGAGCTGTTTGAATCAAAAAAAAGTTTTTTCTGTGACGGGAACGCACGATGTTCTTTGAACATTATAGGGATTCCCTTTCGTGCGCTCTAAGCGTTAAAAAAAATATCCAAAGAGAAGCAAAAAGTTGAAATTGGGTAAATGGGTATTGAACTGCCAAAAGAACTCTCTGCAATAAGAATACTCTACAAATGATTGTTTCTGGTCTTGATTCCAGGCCACTCCGATATGGAAAGTAATCAAGTTTCACCAAACATATTCTGAATGCTTGGACTGCAAGAAGAATTTCAGACTATTGGCAGATCCTGCCAGGTTTGATTGATTCGAGAACATTTACCAAACAAATGTGTCTATACACAGCAGATATGACCTACACTCTCTAACATGCCTAAATACAGGTCACTGTCTTCTAAATTTTCATATGTCAAGACTTGGACTGTCGGAGGATCCGGCAATATACTTCCTGCCTACTCCGCCGCGGCCCGAATCAGGTTTTCGCTGTTTGGTAGGGTTTCACTCTCGTCCTCCTTCACCAAGTGAACTAATCGACTTCATTGAGATGCTGGATCTATGAAATATGAATTGGTGAGATTCACAATTGGGTCTATTGCCCTCACAGGTGGCAGTAGAGGGCCCACTAGATCCATTCACTTTGAACCTAAACTAACCTGTCTGTGTATGCATTATACCGTTGCAATGAGAACGTGTCCTACTGCCGCAATTGAGGTTATTCTCGAGCTCACTCTATATTTAGTTGTGGCGAATGCGGCAAGAAGGACGACATAATGATTGGGGTAGGCGTGATCAAAGGCAGGCCGATCAGCCTAATCAACCAACGAATCCAGTATTTCCTTCAGGATGGGATCAAGAAAAAGTACAGATTTGGGGAACAATTCACCAAAAGGTCGAACTGCAAAAAAAATGGAATAGTGAATCCATTCGTTGAGCTCAAAGTGCGTGATACACAGATGGCTCCAAATCTGAAGTTGGAACTGGAATAGGAATCTAAGGGCCTACCAAGGAGTACTTACGAAGAATTCCCAAACATATTTCAGGCGGTAGTTCACGCTAGTGGTGCCCGCGAGAGTCTCGTTTTCGAGAGTCTCGTCTCGTTTTCGAGACAAGACTCGAGACGAGACTCGGACAAGACGAGACGAGACTTTTATTGGTCTCGTCTCGAGTCTCGTGCAAGACTTCTCGTGTCTCGTGCGAGAGTCTCGCAGGTAAATATTTCTGCGTGCCGACTGCAGACTTGAGAATTTCATTCATTATACAACATATTCAGATAGATTTCAGACTATTTAGCACAAATAGAAGAACATTTCATTCATAAATACTTTGAAAACACAATCCATGATTGCTGTAGAACGACGTAATGCATGAAACGAAAACGGACTATTCTCTCTCTTACGGCGGCGGAATATGAAGGCAATTCTGCAATAACGACAGATCGCAAATAGAATGACGACCTGAAAATCTATAAATAAGTCATTCTGTGCTAATTAGTCTAAGATGAAGAATAACTTAATGTCTTAACGACTGGGTGAAAAACAAACTAATTTTTGATCGTGAAGGCTGATCTGACTGATGAAGGTTTTTTTCTTAGATGCCTATTTCTCAAATAAGAAAAATAATGTTCTTTCGAATATACCGAGGGGTAAATCTCCTTGGAAGTCTGGTGTACACTCCGTTGGAAGTCTTTGGAATTCTTCGGAATTCTTTGGATGTCTTTGGAAGTCTTTGGATGTCTTTGGATGTCTTTGGATGTCTTTGGAAGTCTTTGGGAGTCTTTGAAAGTCTTTGGGAGTCTTTGGGAGACTTTGAAAGTCTTTGGGAGTCTTTGGAAGTCTTTGGAAGTCTTTGGAAGTCTTTGGTCATTGGAAGTCTGGTGTACACATTTTTCCTGGAGATTTACCCCTCGGAATATACAATGCTATTTTTTTTCTTGTTTAGATGTATGATGTGAGTATGTACCTATTAGGTAAGTATGTACTTACTTTTCAATAAATAATGTTATTCTTGTTGTGATTTTCTCTTCCGACTTCTACATTATACCTCGAAAGTAGGTAAAGGTGAATATCCCGTACTAGACTGGAACAAGATTATGCATGACGAAATTGCAATACATTTGCGAGACTCTCGTACGAGACGCGAGACAAGACGAGACTCCAGGCTGCGAGACGAGACTCGAGACAAGACTTCATATTTCATCAGCGAGACGAGACGAGACTTTATGAAAGTCTCGTCTCGTTGGTCTCGTGTGAATCACTAGTTCACGCAACAGATCACTCAAAAGAACAGCTATGAAAGACGAGCTATCATTATCATGTCCGATAGTCAAGCAGCCATCAAAGCGCTGATTATCAGCTCAAAAATGATTTGGGAATTTTGGAAAAAAAATGAACGAGCTAACCAACAGAAATACAGTCACTCTTTCATGGTTTTGTGAACGTACCGGAGTAGAAAAAAGCTCAAAACTCTCTTCGTGGGACCAGGCCCGTCCTGCGGGATCAGCAGCAGTACTGATGTATCAGGGAAATTAGAAAAGAAGAAGCTAAACAGAGATGGGACATCTGGAGAAATCTTCAAGGTCTCAGACAGTCTGAGATACTACTGGGTACATATAACCACAAAATATCGAACGCATATGTCAGCCAGAGTAAGCAAAAATAATCTTCGTTTACTAACGGGAGTCCTAACAGGGCACTACCAATTGATAGGACATCTCAGGAAGCTCGGTTTCAGTCTATAAGAAGAGGATATCAAGTCACCTTACAGAACTCAAGGGCAAGAGACCAAAGAGCACACATAATAGGGGAGGAGGAGCTACACTACCTAGAACCACCTGATATGCTGAACTTTCTGAATGATATATAATATAGAGGACTGACTTTGCTATAGCTAAGCAAAGGTAATACACACTCTAGATAGACAGCGCCTCTGTAAAAATCGGTAACGCTCCGATGGGACGTAACAGACCGGTGGCTAATTGTATGTACTGATTCGTTGTAGGTCGATGAAATACACGGCGTTATAAATATTATGATGATATCTGCACAGCGGATAACCCACCGCTGTTACGTCCCAACTTTACATTCACGGTGTCTATCTAGATTCTAGAGTGTGCATGATTTTTGACTTCGGAGAACAACCTCATCGGGTTCAGTAACATCAGAAGGGGGCACAAGGATCTTTTAGGTCGCAGTGTATTCTCCCATTATGCATACAATACGATACAACACTCCTTTATGTTGTTTCCGTAGATGGTTGTAGGAAAAATGAAAACACCAGTCTGTCTACACTAGGGCAGTGCGATATGAAAATTTTTATATCGATATCGGTGTGTGATTATTCATTGATATATCGATACATATCGAGGATATATCGATAGGGTAGATGCACTGGTTAACCGACCAGCACTGGTTCTCGACCGTCCTGGCATTTGATTCGAAATAATAAGAGAAATATTCCTTATCGAAAACCAATTTAACCATATTCAGTTCTCGACCACTGCATGTGGTTGAGAACCTCTCTCTTATGTCAAAGTATAACATGATTTTTTCATTAAAATATTTATCATAATTTGACAATGAAGTATATTTGATTTATGTTTATTTTCATTGTTCATAGCTCTTTGAGGAATCTAAAACAATGACAGGGGCAATGACCATTAGGTTCCTATAATATGTTTGAAAATAAGTATTTTGTGGTTCTTCAGTTTTTTCATCACTTCATTACCTTGTGAATAAAACTGATCGATGGTTGTCGAGAGCCAACGTGAAAATGGTCGATTACTCTGCGGGGTGGTCAAGAACCAGTGAAAATAATTGTAGATTTTTTGCTTTTATCAAGATTTCAAAAGTCGAATGCAAAAAAAGCTTGAAAGTATTCACAAATTACTCTCAAATTATCAAGGAATCGGTATACACTAACTCCAATACAATATTATAAGCTTGCTATTACAAGAAATTACCACTCTCAAAGTTGACATTACGGTTAACTGGTCGAGAATCAGTGCATTTGCCCTATGTATCGATATATATCGATATGTATAGATATGTATCGATATGTATCGATATGTATCGATGTATCGATGTATCGATGTATCGATGTATCGATATTTTGCACAGCCCTAGTCTACACCTAGGTAGGTACGCCAATGATTTAAAGTTTCCGGCATCCAACATCCAACCGAAGCGAACGATGAAATGAGGGAGATAGAGAACCGCATTAAAGCCGTTTTGTTAATCTGTGGTCGAGACGTGCCGCTGAATTTATCAAAAATAATGATTACGGACAGCCGACAAGTCGAACGCTCTCAAATAATTAGCCGAATGAGAGGGAATACCGATTGTGCCATCTAGATGTGTAGATAAGATTTTTTATTGGCGAAAGATTTCTCAAATTGGCCGATACATCATAGGAAGTGGAAACCGGATATAATCGCGTTTCTTGTTATACAGTGTGATTTATTTTTGGTAATGTAGTGAATAGAATATGCCCATCTCAAGCGATTATTTTTGTTAAAAATTTAATTGTTAATAACGAGTTTCGGCAATCACTTCATGATGAAGATTAACATGTTCAGAACCTGAAAAAAAACTCTTGCCTTGAAGAATTGGTTTGTAATTATATTTTTCATCCAATTTGAAGAAAAAAGTGTAAATGGCCATATTGCCAACACAGTGTCGACATTATGGCCATGCATGCAAAAAGCAAAAATAATTTAGAGAAAAAGTTCTAATACTTGTGGAAATAATTATTATTAGCTAAATACCTACAAAACCTAAGAAATAAAGAGATCAAAAATAATTATTTTCGAGTATCATTCGTACCTATAAAAGGAACACATGAGAATGTCTTCAATTTATGTTTTAGGTACTGACGTAGATTTAGGTGCATATATTAGGGATGCACCGGGTACCGGGTATTATACCCGGTTCCCGACCGGGTACTCGGTACCCGGCTTCGCTTTGGATACCCGGCCGGGTATTTTTTCCGGAATAAACGGTGGTCAAGACAAAAACTAAAAGGCTCGAGAACAGAAATATATTAATAACACAAATAACATTCTCACTAGAACCCAAAACAAAAAATCGTGATAAAACTAATATTCAAAATTAAGGAGTGGTAAATTGTCATGAAGGAATCCCCTTTATTTACGATTGATACACACGCACGGTGGGATGGAAATGGATGGGATGGGTTTTTATTGATGTTTCAAAGAATAACGTCGTCGGCATTGTGCATTAGTGCAATATAGATATTAGGAGATAGATATGATGGAATATAGAAACTACACGACAGCTTCAATGCACTTATTTGGTTGATAATACCCGGCCGCCGGGTATCCGTTACCCGGCCTACCTTCAAAATCGGGTACCCGATACCCGGCTTTTTCAGAAAACAGTTCCCGGTGCATCCCTAGCATATATTGCCATAACTCGGCATGGTGGGCATATATTGCTACATATGAAGTTAAATTAGGGTACTTTAATTCGATTGCTTTCCACCACAATCTGAGCTCCAATACCCATGTATGGAACACAATATATTGCAGTTCATTGACACCGTCTTTTAAAACTCAATAATAAAAAACTTGACGTGGAGATATTTTATCGGCGTCTTAAAAATATATTTTTAACGACACCAGTATGATAACGCTTGCAACTTGCTGTTTTACCGACAAAAATCTGACAGTAGATTAACAGGAAACTGTGTGTGTAACCAAACTACGGCCCGTCTGCATATTGCATTCACCTATACCTTACATCAAGTCTGAGAAGTGATATAGGGTGGAAACGTAATTAAAAAAATTATATATTCTCCTCAATGAACATTCCTTCAAAAATGCACCAGAACTCAAACATGCACAGGACCTTAAAGTTAAATTTAGAGTATTCCATTATTAAAAAAGTTCATATGTGATACTTTGAACATTCAGCAAACTTCCTTTTTGTGTGTATCTGCGTCTACATTAAAAATGTATAGATCATTCCAC